CATCATCTTCCTCGTTCCCCGAACCGTCTTCCCTGTGTGTTTCTCCAGTGAGAGAGTCATAGCACTCGGTTGGGGTAGTGGTGGCTGCACCCCCTAGAATGGCATGCAGCTCCACGTAGAAGCGGCAAGTTTGCGGCTTTGCCCCGGACCTTCCGTTTGCTTCTCTGGCTTTGTGGTAAGCTTGCCGTAGCTCCTTAATTTTCACACGGCACTGCTGTGTGTCCCTGTTATGGCCTCGGTCCTTCATGGCCTTGGAGACCTTTTCTAATACTTTGCCATTTCTTTTACTGCTACGGAGTTCAGCTAGCACTGATTCATCTCCCCATATGGTGAGCAGATCCCGTACCTCCCGTTCGGTCCATGCTGGAGCTCTTTTGCGATCCTGGGACTCCATCACGGTTACCTGTGCTGATGAGCTTTGCGTGGTCACCTGTGCTCTCCACGCTGAGCAAACAGGAAATGAAATTCAAACGTTCGCGGGTCTTTTCCTGTCTACCTGGTCAGTGCATCTGAGTTGAGAGTGCTGTCCAGAGCGGTCACAATGAAGCACTGTGGGATAGCTCCCGGAGGCCAGTAACGTCGAATTCCGTCCACACTACCCCAATTCCGACCCGCAAAGGCCGGTTTTATCGCTAATCCCCTCGTCGAAGGTGGTGTAAAGAAACCAGTTTAAAGGACCCTTTAAGTCGAAAGAAAGGGCTTCGTCGTGTGGACGTGTCCAGGCTTAATTCGATTTAACGCTGCTAAAGTCGACCTAAACCCGTAGTGTAGACCAGGCCTTAGTGCTAAGGTATTGAGCCTTGCTGTAACAGGATGTAACAGACCCTTCTGCCTTGAAGGAGAGAGGATTCCAAGCCTTGGACTTCTTCATTTGGATTAAAAGAAAAGCAAGAGAGGCCATCGCAACTGCATCACCATGAGCCTTTCACTGAAAGAATTCTGGCTCATACACAAATGCAGCATTTTTTGCTTGCCTAGCTGATTGACTGCCTCATAAGGAGTTGCAGGTGTCTGTTGGGAGCTTAGGCACAAGATGAATTTAAGAACGTGGGGACCAGTTGTCTGTAGAGGGAGTGCAAATGGGCAGGCAGGGAAAAACATTCTTAAGAGCAAACAATCAATGTTTTCCAAAATTGACCAAAGTGAAACTCCTTAGTCCACACTGTCAACTGTGCAGGAGCAGAAAGCACCAAACAGAATTTTACCAACCTAGAAAAATAAAACCTTTACAATGAGAATTAAGCTTAAGTAATTTGAGCCAAAAAGATTTTTTTTTTCCAGAACTGTAAGCACCAGAACGAATTTCTCTCTCCCTTCAGTCAACCATAAGGCACTGCGATGTTTGCAGATCCTCTCTTCCGAATATCAAATCATTCTACACTGTGTGCAGCCATATCTAGTTGCCACAAGCTAAGCAAAGAGAGGACAGATCAGTACTTGGATAGGAGATTCTGTAGGTGATATTCTCCCTCTTCCTCCAGTACAGAGCCAACATCCCAAGCAATTATAAGCTTTTCATAAATCCTGATTTCCTGTCAAATTCCAATTTGGATACTAATTCTGTTCCCCGTTCCTCCTTCAATTTCCAGTGGATAAACGATTCTTCTTCACATTCTGTCCTGAACTAGCATCAAGTAGGGTTGCAGTGAGCTGTTCGACAGCTTCCGCCTTCAGGGGTTGCATTTTAGTGGTGGGTGTAGCAATTCCCTATTTAGTTTGCCAAGCACTGAGAGAAACCTTGAGATAACTCACTTCACACAATGCTGAAATGCAACCAGTTCGAAGGTAGTAATAATAATAGCTACCTCATATAATGGTTTTCATGAGTGGATCTCAAAGCACTTTACAAAGGAGGTTGGTATCATTACCCCCCTTTTACAAATAGAGAAACTGAGGCATAGGGCGGGGAAGTGACTTGCTCAAGGTCACCCAGCAAGCCAGAAATAGAATCCAAGTCTCCTGACCCAGTGCTATAGACTCGAGGCCACAATGCCTCTCTAGAAGAAGACAGTAGCTTTTTAACAGAGCACAGCAAAGCTAGACAAAAGTTTAAGACAAGAAATAAGGAAGATTTATGTGCACTAAAACGCCACAAAGAACTCGGGGAGCTGGGACATCGAGACAGAAATGGCAGTAATCCAGGACACAGGACTCAAGCAAAGGGAGCCCGGGAGCTTTTAATACCCACAAGTGAGGCAGTGCCTGAGTTTTATTCATGCCCTGCCCCAGGAGCACAGCACCCCCTAGGTTTCTTTGTTGAGAGAGAAATTAGCACACACACCCCCCGCACTCCCCAGAGTCTTGCAACACTCCCTGCAGCACACCTCAGCACAGCGCCCCCTAGCAGAGCACTGGAACAAAAAACTTAATTGGCTTCATCTCTGACCTAATAAATTTATTGAGTTGATGGTATGCTGAGACTGCCTATAATGGCATATAGCCAAAATGCAACTGGTAACAGTAAATATCTCCAATAGCTGGAAATGGGACACTAGATGGGGAGGGCTCTGACTACTACAGAGAATTCTTTCCCAGGTGTCTGGCTGGTGGGTCTTGTCCACATGCTCAGGGTCTCTCAGAGGTCCCAAATGAGTGGGGTGCTTCCCCTGGGGGGCGGGCACAGGGGAACATTGGAGGAGTGTGTGTGGCAGGGCAAGCCCAGCCCCCATGGGGGAAAGGAAGGGACTGCCACCCAGCCCCTTCCCGCCCCCAGCCCCGCCCCTAGCCAGGGCTGAAGCTGGGAGCAGAGTTGCACCCGGCCCCCACCGCAGCCCAGCTGTGGCGCTGCTCCTGCCTTGGTCCCTGGGTATGGCTTTGGCCCAAGATCCACCCCCAGCTGTGGGCCCGTTACACCATCTCTGCAGGGGGTGGGAACAACCATCAAAAGCCTGGGCACCACTGGTCTGATTGCCATATTTGGGGTTGTGAAGGAATTTCCTCCCAGGTCAGATTGGCAGTGATCCTAAGGGTTTTCTCACCTCCCTCCACAGCATGGGGCACAGACCTCCTGCAGATTTAAACTAGTGTAAACAGTGAATTCTCTGTAACTTGACATCTTTAAACCATAATTTGAGGCCTTCAATAACTCAGCCAGAGGTCTATTACAGGAGCGAGTGGGCAAGGTGCTGTGGCCTGCAATGTGCAGGAGATCAAACTCCTTCTGATCTTAAAGTCTGTGAGTTGGCACTGACCGCAGCCCCGCGTGGGGGTTTCCCTGGCGGAGGGAGAGGGGCCAGGCCCTGCGTAGCTTGACAGCCTACTCGGATCACAGACCTCTGGTGCCCAAGGAAACTACGTCTCCCAGCATGCACCGCGCCGCTTTGCATGTTGGGAGCTGCCTGCTCGGGACCCGGGGGAGCCCGGCTCCGCAATGGTGACCCGGGCCGGCTGTGGTGCGCGGGGCTTCCCTCCTCGCCGGGCCCCGGCCCGCCATACCCGCCTCCGGACAGCCCAGTACCTGTTTGCCTTCTTGGGGCGCTGGCTGCGCGGGCGGCAGCACCTGGACCGGACCGGCCGGCATGGTGCCTCCTCAGCGGCCCGCTGGAGTCTCTGCTTGTCCTGGGGCGGCAAGAACCGAACAGCACAGAGTGACCGCCACCGCCGCGCACAAAATGGCAGCGACTCTCTTCCCCCCCCCCCCGGCTGCGCGCGCAGCACGGTCGGGCTCGCCTACGTCAAAAACACAGGCGAGGAAGCGGGTTGTGGCGGCTGCGCGCGTAGCCCAGTTGGAATGTTCTACTCTGGGGACGGAGAGAGGGTGCCCGCAGTCCAGGGATACCAGCCGCGGTTGGTACAGTCGTAAAGCATGCGCGCACAACTCATCGGGCTCGTGTCACTGGGATTGTTCCCAGCAAGTCAGTGTCAGTGTATTTCATAGGGAGCGAGGGCGGCAAACTCGGAATGTTCCATTGAGGGAACTGGGAGGTACTCTCGTGACGTTTGATTGTGGGGGAAGGAGCAGGAAGCGCTCCTAACATTCTATTGGGCAGATGGTTCACTTCGCAAAGAGGAGGGCCAGGGCCTGTGCGATTGCCATGGTAACGGGTAGCGCAGGGCAGGCGGTAACGGAGGCACCGAGGCTGCGGGTTCGCTCCGAGCCGGGGGACGGCGGCCGCTCGGCAGGTGGGTACCCCGTCCCCGACCGTCCCGGGGCCCCGTATCCATGGGGTCCCCATCCAAGCCCTCTGCCAGGCTTGGGGCGTCGGGTGTTTGTCCTTGTCCAGCGTCGTGTAGCTAAGGATCTCGGCGTGTCTTGTGAGCGTTACACGAGCTGCACAGCACCTCTAGCGAGAGGGACGTAGTGAGCGAGGCCTTCCGAGCTACGACTGCGGGTTCCATCTCTTTTTCTCTCTGGCTGTGTGACTGGCTCGGAATCTCAGCTCCCCTTGTAATAATACCGTCCTCTGGTATCTCCCGGGGGGCTGGGCTTGAGTCTGTCATGTTTTTAGAGCACCTTGAGATCCTTGGTTGGAAATGGCTAGAGGCAGGCAAAGTGGAAAAGGCACTGTCAATGCTAGTTGTTGCATGTATCACACACACACCTTACTTGTGTACACGTGTGAAGTGTAATACTTGTCTCTGACATATGTATGCATGCCACTGCTGTTTACTGGCTGGAATCAGACTCCTCACCTGTGTGTGATGCCTGGCACCTTTCTCTCTCCTGTTCTCTGCCTCTGGTAGGTTAGGCTCCTGAGGACTGAAATACTTTTTTCCACCTAGAGTCTTTGGGCTCAATAGAGGGGTAACTGGGTGAACTTTAATAGTTCTGAGATTCTAGAGGTCAGACTAGGTTTAATGGTCCCTTCTGTCCTTAAACTCTATGGGACCAGTATCATAGGCTCTATACAACTAACACAACTAAAGGGGATTCTGTGATTTGGAACAACAGGAAATGAGTTTTATTCCCGTTGTTGTGAAGTTCCAGTGGCACAGCATGCAGTATAATACAGCTGTGAAGTCTTAGGACTTGTTACAATGCTGTACACGGGGCCATAACTTTTAAGCCCTAGCAGAAGTGACAGCACTTTATCCCATAGTCATGAAGAGCTGAGATGTACAGTAATGAGTCTGACCTGCCTTGATTTTCTTTCCCTAGGGGATCTGCTAGTTAATTTGATGTTCAGTGTTGTTGTCTGCTGCAGATCTATCCATCCTGCCAATGAGGGGCCTTTTCCTATTTGTGGCCTAAAGTCAGCTGACAGAATGGCATACCTGCTGGGCAATCCAAACTGTATGGAGAGCTTGAGGAAGGACATCACCGATCTACAAGGAGCCATCATTGATGTCTTTTCCCGGGCTGGGGCAGTGCGTTATCCCTCCTGGAAGTTTCCCAATAAAGTGTCCTGTGATCTGGATCTGGTGGCTTTGCTGGAGCATTATGACTATGTGGAGAATGACCCTGAATTTACCCAGCATTCCCATGTAATGCTCCTCGAACTGGTGATTGACAGGTGAGAGGATGAATACATCTCAGATCTGTTAAAAGGTTGATCAATGGACATCCCCAATTCCTTTCAGAAATGCCTGTTGGGAAAACACTACATGCATACAGACAACATATCTGTGTTCAGGTCTTTAGAATCACATGCATCTGGAAAACACAGAAGATGTTTCTGTATGCAGCCACTTATCGATGGCTGAACAGCTGTATTTCTTCTTTGAGAAATGTCTCTGCAGATTCCTACTGATAGGATATCTGCTCCTGGCACCATGAGCATAGATCTGCAGGTGCAGTAAATTCAAAGAACTTGAACGGCTTTTAGCTATCTAGCAGCATTTCCCTGAAATTCTCTTCTTGGGGGGGAGGAGGGGGTTGGTAGCAACATATTTTAAGGATGCCTGACATTTCCCATTTTAAGAGCCAGTTTTTAGTTTCAAAGAGTCCTGTGGCACCTTATAGACTAACAGATGTATTGGAGCATAAGCTTTCGTGGGTGAATACCCACTTCGTCAGATGCATGACGTTTCCAAGAATAGGGAAAAATGTGTTGTTTTGGCAAAAACAATTGTTGACCTTTGAGAAATTCTGACATCCCCATAATTTGGAGTAGGGACTTGAAATTTGGCCTGTGTCAGGGAGGTGCCTTTTGCTCTTTATATGAAAATCTGCCCAAATTTGGCTGTTATAAGTCCTTGAAAAATCTCACTTTGCACATGCTCAGTGGAGACTTTTTAGAGTTTAACTAAAATCTCTGAAGATTCCATTCTCACTGAGTATGCTCCAGCTCATCACTGGTTTTGGTGCTGACCAGACTGTGCACGGGTGATATCTACAGAGTGACTGAGCATGCTCCATCCCCTCACAGTTCCCAAGTGTGACTGGACTGTGCATGCCTCATTCAGTGGACAGAATGGACCTGCTCTGGGGATGAATCAGGACTGTATAATGAAGGAGCCTGTTGTCTCATTTGTGGAAGAAGTTGTAAGGTGTTTAGTGAGTGAGGCAGAGGATTGTGGGAAGAGAAAGGAGGGCTTCGTGGTTCAGCGAGTTGAATGCTACCCTGGAGAATTGGATTCTATCCCTCCCTCTCCCACAGAGTTCCTATGCAGTGTTGGACAAGTCACTTAAACCAAAGTTTTCACAGGTGGTCCCTAAGTGTGCTCCTCATTTTCGGGGTGCTCAACATGAGAGCCTGGGGCTTGATTTGCATTAGTGCTGAGCACTCCCAGTTGCAACTGACGTCAATGGGAGCTGTGCTTTGAACATCTAAAGTGCTATATAATGGTAAGTATTTTGAAAAATCAGGTCGTAGGTGTCTCAAGTTGGGCACTTAAAATTAGTGGATACTTTTGCCCTGTGTCTCAGCTCTGCAGGAGTCTTTTGAAGAAAAGTGAATGTTTGCACAGCAGCTACTGTCGTGCTGAGCGTCATAGAAAAGTCTATGAGGAAATTAATAATTCAGTCTTCAGAGCAGGGTTTGAATGATGTGCAGTGAACAAGGCCTGGGCCACACGTTGAACAACAAGGATAAAACAAAATATTGAGTAACAGCTCACCCAGTTTTCAGAGTAACAGCCGTGTTAGTCTGTATCCGCAAAAAGAAGAACAGGAGTACTTG